TCACTGCCCTGCTGAGCCAGAAGAGCGTGTTCAAGCACCCAGCCCGCCCCGGGCAAGATTGTAGGCCGCAAGCCCAACGGCCAGCCCCGTTGCCGCTGCGCCGCTGCGCCACCAACGGTCCACTCACCCGCCGTGGCAGGAGACTCCAACGTGATGCCCCGCCCGGGCCCGCAGCCGCAGAATCACAGGTTGACTCGACAACGTCAGCCCCTTTTGGACGAGGGGTGGAGCGGGGCGCAGCGCAAGCCATCGAGGAGACGGCAGCAGTAGCTGCAGAGGAGGGAGAGGTCGCCGCTGCTGCCGAGAGCGTGGACGGGGCCTTGGAGCCGATGAAGCGGCTTCCCCCGTAGCCTTGGTGGATCCGGGCCACGTTCTCGTCCGTGGCCTCTGCGGGAGTGCAGAAGCCTCGCAGCGGCGTGTGCTGCAGAGGCTGCGGGTTGGGGTCCTCGCTGGACTGCGCGAAGTCGTCCAGGAAAAGTGAGTGGCCCGTGATGAACGAGGTGGCCTTGCGGTCCGGCTGGTCCAGGGGCAAGGGCTCCCGCTCGGAAGCGCGGGCGCTGGTTGAAGCCGTAAGACCGAAGCGTCATCTCTTTACCGGTTGCGCCTCCAGTCGCTTCAGCAGCAGCGGCTGCAGGTCGCAACTGGGGTGGGTCTTGCGGAACCACCGAAGCATCTGTAGGTGCGCACGATGTGCAGGCGAAGGCGCCCAGGATCATGGCGTAGCCTTCCTGTTGGAGCGCGCCAGGAAGTTGTTGCCTGCCTCCAGGTTGCGTCCAGGATCTGGAGGCCGTAGACGTCCACCGTTTCTGCCGTCCCTGGTTTGCAGAAACCTGCAACTTCCACGAGGTCCTACTGCAGTGGCCATGCCTCACCAAAGAGGCCCAACGCTATATAGCTTGCTTTGAAACTTTGGCCCAGCTTGCACTCATGCGCATCGCTTGGGCTACCGAAGTGCACGGCCTTTGCATGCCGTCCGGTACGGATAATACTGCATCCGAGGCCGGAGTGAACAAACTGTTCACTACGGCATGGCCTCTGCAAATTTTTGTGCAACTCGTCGCAGCGTGGGCTTACAAGCACAAATGGTCAGTGCTAGCCTCGCACATCCCAGGCGAGCGCAACGTGTGGGCTAATCAGCTTAGCCGCGGAAATACTTCCATGCTCACTTTCGATTTCGCCCGCATGATTTCTGGCCCCATAAATCCGCGCTGTCATTGCATCCGCCCGACGCACCGTGGCGGCCGGAGCATAGAAGTGCGTCGCAAACGCTCTGAAGAGGGGGCGATAGTTTAGGCCGTTTGCTTGGAACCCTGAAGTGGGGGCATTTGAGAAGGCTCCGCAGGGGGGTGCAGACACGGGGAAAGGACACGCACTGTCTTTCCCCCTGCACCCCCGAGCCTTAACTTCCAAGCAACGCCTTATAGAGAAAAAGAGCGAGCGCACCCTTTGTCGGTCGTTCTCTTTTGTCTCTTGATGCATGTTCCCTTACGGATTGAAGCAGTGATCAAGATTCTAACTTGGCTCTCTGTAACTTGGCTCTATGTAACTTGGAGCCTCTACACCTAGCTTAGCTTAGCTCTATGCACCTAGCTCTATGCATGTGAATATGTGACATGTCCGGAGACGGGGGGAGGATCGACATCCACCGTGGCACGAAGTGGAGGCAGCATCTGCGCCAAGCCGCGCAAGTTTGCTTGAGCTTCTGAATCGTGATTTTCCCCACTTTGGTGTCAACAAAGGGGCGTGCGCCATTTGCAACATATGGATTTGCAGTTTGACATTTATCCAGGCAATCGTTCCCAAATGGTGTCCTTGGTTTGGCTTAGCAGCTGCTTGGCATGCTGCCCATAAGACAAAGATTTCAATCCGAACTGATCCTTCTTGCGTTTCCTTGAGGTTGTGGTCAGTTCCTTACGAAATTCCCACTTGTTTTTTGCATTGACAATGACGCAGCTCAGGACGTGTGGACTTCTGGAAGGGGTCGATATCAACTTTGCCAAATGTATTGCCAACAGATTGCTCGAGTCCCTCCCTGGCAGACTATTTTTGTCGATTTCTATCATGGAAATTTCACAAGCAGCCGGCGCACGCCGGTTGGATTCCAGCGACGCCACAGGGGATCTCCTTGTTGAGCCTGATAATTCAGCTAAGCAGAGGGGTTTGGAGTAACGGCGGTGTGACTAGAAAGTCACTGGTACGTCCTAAAAAACAGTGTCTGCTTGGGGCCAGGTGAGACAAATGCACCTTGTGTCGCTTAAAGCTGTGAGCATCCCCTTGTCACCAACGCAGAAAAGCAGAGCGACGATATCAACTACTGCATTCACATGTCTTGAGTATGTGTGTGCAACACAACATCTGAGCTGCTGAGTGAAATGAGTTGGCTGAATTGCTTGCGGTCAACAACTCAAATGCTGATGAGGAACAATTCGCAGCTCTGGTACCGGAACAACGAGCAATGCACAACAAAAGAGAAAGTGCGGAACCCTTTCCCCTCAAAACGGCTAGTTTGTTTTTTGAGGTGGGTAGACATGGTCACACAGCAGTCGCAACATCTGGATTTTGGGTCCGGAGCTGATGACATGAGCGATGCCGCGGAGGAGCGAGCATGTTGCGCCGCGGGCCATGTGGGAGGTTTTTCATTCAGGCCACCGTACCCTTTCTTGAGGGCACCCGTTGGGGTGGTAAAGGGCACCGTGTTGGGGCTCCTGCACCTTTATTTATCAAACTGCATCATGTCATGCGATTGCATTCGATAGGGCAAAGGGGATCATGTTTGTTGACGGTGCCCAGCCTCTGGACTTTGTTTGAGTTTGGAGGGGCTCGGGACACATCCCAACTTTTGCAGGTAACATGGAACAAGGCAGCGCATGGCCACAACAGAGAACCCTCCACATACTCTATGACTACTGGTGGACTTATCTGCAGGGAAGTCTCCCGAAACCGTTTTGTGCATTGCATCATTGTTGGAAAGATGCATGAGCATGACCCAGACAAGATGGAGTCAATAGGTGGCAGAAATACGTGAAGCCTGATAGGATAGCTGAATAGGCCAAGACCATAATCAACAGGGCTGATGTTCTCGATTTCGATCATGCTTCCAGTTCTCCACTCTTGGCTAGGAGGATTTCAGTATGTGTCGACAGCGTGTCACACAAGCCAAAACCAAAGACCTGCATGTCTACAGGGTGAAAGTGGAGGTACAATTCCCTTCTGTTGGTACGGGGCATGATTGGTCCAACATGGGGGCATCGTGCCACTCTGCTTTTATCTACGTGTACAGTCCCTCCCAATTTGCGGGTTTCCACAGGGTCCTTACATTTCTCTTATTGGTGCCTTGAAACATCCCGCTTCTGGCCCATAGGTGAGTTTCTCTTGGTGTGATTTTAAGGGGAACTTCCCACCTAGGTGGGCATAGTGTGCATATTTTGTTTCTTCTTTTTCGGAGTCGGTGCCGTTTTTTAGTCGTGAAGGACAGACACAAAGGCAAGCCGACGCGAGTTTTCGGGGCGAAAAACCATTCTTGGCGCGGTGCCAGGCAGCCCTAGGGGCGCTCTCCGGCGCCCCGGCGGCCCAGCGACGGGAGGCCGAGATTTTTGGTGTGGAGCAGGTTTCAACCTTGAGCCAAGGACGGTCTCTCGTCTCTTAAGTGGAGGCTTGACCCTCTTGTTGGATGGGTTTGAAGGGAACAAGCAGACAAGCTTGACTTAGGCTGACACGTGCTGAAAAGGACTTTGAGCAGGTGCACGACTTTTCTGGCCGAACGTTCGCCAGGCGCTGGCGACGATTGCCAAGCTCCTCCGAAACTTGGTGAACTCGCCGGAGGAGGAGATGACCCGAAAGCGGCCCTCGCGGTTCATACATGCCCGCCATGATTCTCATCACGAAAAGGTGGAACCCGGGTCTATCCGCCGGGCTCGTTTTCTGGGTTTCACTTTAAGGAGACTTTTCGACATTTGGAGGTGATGGAGTTGGAGTTGGGGCGGATGCTCGGAAGGCCCTAAGCTGACAAACATTTCTGTTCAAGCCACCAAGGGGTAAGATGGTCTCAAACGGTAAACTTTGCCCGAAGCCCCAAGGTGGTTGAGGTTCCACAAATTCCAGTAGTCTATTCTCCATTTGGGGATATTGGGGACTCATTACCTCTCCCAGTCCTTTGGATCCTGGGAACTGGTTTCGGGTTTGAGCTCCTTCTTGTGGAAAGTAGACGGCAAGCTGAATTAGGGGCATATGGTGCACCAGCCACTTGGGAGTGTATTCCTCATTGAAAGTCATAGCCACCCCAGTGCTTCCGTTTTCACCGTCTAGTAGGCAACCTGGGGAAACCATCCATAATGTATATCCTAAAGTCAAACAAACTGAAGGCTTTCCCACGAAACATTGGCTTGCCCTGAAGCCCTCGGCAAAAAAAAAGAGACCACGTCCTTCAGGAGAAGTTCCGGCGTATACGGACCACCAACCCGGCCATTGCGCAGCGGCCGTGTGCCCGGTGCACCGGGCAGAGTTAATGGTGGCTTACCCCACAAATTCCAAGCAACACTTGGATATGTGCTGTGCATATAGGTATGCAAAACAAAGCACAGACGGGCCGGTATCGGTCAAAATGAAATCACCAAGCGACCGCAGGTTTGAGTCCATGTTTCCATTCACCAGGTTTCATTTTGGGTGCCTATTTTTGACCCACGCGTATTTTCTGAGGCTCTTCCCGGCGTGCTTTGACCTCCTGAAGGCAATTGGCTTCGAGGTGGGAGCGGAATTTTTCAGGCCTTGAAAGGGTTCTGAGTCTTATGTTGAAACCACCCACGCAAGGAGCGTAGCGGACGTTTCTCCGAGTTTGCATGGCGAATGAACGGATTGATACATGATACTCTCGAAGGTACTTAGGGGATCCGGGCATGTTTGCCGAGGGTTTTTCTTTTTTTCCCCCTCTTGACCCAACGATTTTCTGACCCTTGCTTTTTCATGGTCCTTCCACACGATCCGCTCGCACGCGAACTCCGGCCCAAGCCGAACCCCTCCGCGCGCTCGGCAGGCCTCACCGAAGGGGGCGGGGCTCCGTTTCAGGCGATGTCAGCTGGCCAAAACGTGCTTCCAGTTATTGCAAATTTGGGCTACTGGGCGACAGGGAACCTCCAAGGCAAGCCCGTTTCAATCCCTTGGCTCAGTTCTTCAAACGGCCATCTCTCTCATTTTGTAAGCAGTTGCCTGTTGGGAAATTTGAGAGGACACACTTCAAATACCCTCCTTTTCTTGGGTATAAAGGCAACCCCTGACGAAGATGGAACATTGCCAAGCCACCAATCCAAATCACCCTTCCCCTCTAATATTTTTGCCCCCCTTTCCCTGTTGAGATCCATTCCCCCTTTCCCCCCTAAGGCCCTTTCTCCCTCTGATATTTTTTCCCTTTTCCTCCCTAAGATGTTTTCCCCCCTCTCCCTGTTGAGATCCTTTCCCCCCTTTCCCCCCTAAAACCTTTTCCCCCCCTGAGATCTTTTCCCTTTCCTCCCTGAGATCTTTCCCCCCCTTTCCCTGTTGAGATCATGTCCCCCTTTCCCCCCTAAGGCCTTTCCCCTCGCTGAGATCTTCTCCAAGATCCTTTGCCCCCTTTCCCTGTTGAGATCCTTTCCCCCCGTCCCCCTAACGCCTTTCCAGATCTTCTCCCTTTTCCTTCCTAAGATTTTTCCCCCCTTTCCCTGTTGAGATCCTTCCCACCCTTTCCCCCCTAAGGCCTTTCCCCCCCTGAGAGCTTCTCCCTGTTCCTTCCTAAGATCTTTTCCCCCCTTTGCCTATTGGCCTTTTTTCCCCCAGATCTTCTCCCTTTCCTCCCTAGGAACTTGTCCACCCCTTTCCCTGCCTGAGATCTTCCCTTTTCCTCCCTAGGATCTTTTCTCCCTGTCCCTGTTGAGATCCTTTCCCCCCCTTTCCCCCCCAATGGCTTTTCCGATCTTCTCCCTTTTCCCCCCCTGAGATCATCTCCCTTTTCCTCCCTAAAATGTTTTCCCCCCATCTTCTCCCTTTTCCTCCCTAAGATCTTTTCCCCCCTTTCCCGCTTAAGATCCTTTCCCCCGTTTCCCCCCTAAGGCCTTTTCCCCCCAAGATCTTTCCCTAAAATCTTTCCCCTTTCCCGTTTGAGATCCTTTCCCCCCATTGTCATTGCCCCCTAGAGCCTTTTCCCCCCGAGAAAGATTTCCCTTTTCCTCCCAAAGATCTTTTCCCCCCTTTCCCCCCTAAGGCATTTTTTCCCCAGATCTTCTCCCTTTCCTCCCTGAGATCTTTCCCCCCCTTTCCCTGTTGAGATCCTTTCCCCCCTTCCCCCCCTTTCCCCCCTAAGGCCTCCCCGCGCTGAGATCTTCTCCCTTTTCCTTCCTAAGACCCTTTTGCCCCCTTTCCCTTTCCAGATATCCTTCCCACCCTTCTTTTTCTAAGGCTTTCCCCATCTTTTCCCCCCTTTCCCTGTTGGCCTTTTTTCCCCCAGATCTTCTCCCTTTCCTCCCTAAGATCTTTTCCACCCCTTTCCCCGTTGAGATAATTTCTCCCCTTTCCCTCCTAAGGCATTTTTTCCCCAGATCCTTTCCTCCCTGAGATCTTTCCCTCCCTTTGCCTGTTTAGATCCTGTCCCCCTTTCCCCCCTAAGGCCTTTCCCTGAGATCTTCTCCCTTTTCCTCCCTAAGATGTTTTCCCCCTTTCCGTGTTGAGATCCTTTCCCCCCTTTCCCCTAAGACCTTTCCCCCCCTGTAAGATCTTCGGATCTTTTCCCCCGGTTGAGATCCCTTCCCCCTTTTCCCCCAAGATCTTCTGCCTTTTCCTCCCTAGGATCTTGTCTCCCTGTCCCTGTTGAGATCCTTTCCCCCCCGTTCCCCCCTAAGGCCTTTCCCCCCCTGACATCTTAAGGCCTTTCCCCCCCCTGAGATCTTAAGGCCTTTCCCCCCCATGAGATCCGAAAATCTTCTCCCACCTTTCCCTTTTGAGATCCTTTCCCCCCTTTCCCCCGTCTTCTCCCTTTTCCTCCCTAAGATCCTTCCCCTCTTTTCCGGTTGAGATCCTTTCCCCCTAAGGCCTTTTCCCCCTTGTCCCTTTCTTTTTTAAGATCTTCCCCCCCTTTTGTTTTCTAAGATCTTTCCCACCCTTTCCCTGTTGAGATCCCCCCCCCCCTGAGATCTTTCTCCCTTTTCCTCCCTGAGGTCCTTCCCCTCTTTTCCGGTTGAGACCCTTTCCCCCATTTCCCACCTAAGTCCTTTTCCCCCCAGATCTTCTCCCTTTCCTCCCTAAGATCTTTCCCCCCCTTTCCTCCCTAAGATCTTTCCCACCCTTTCCCTGTTGAGACTTTCCGTCCTTTCCCTCCTAAGGCCTTTCCCCCCCTGAGAGCTTCTCCCTTTTCCTTGCTCCCCCCTTTCCCTGTTGCTTTCCCTGTTGAGATCATTTCTCCCCTTTCCCCCCTAAGGCCAAGATCTTTCCCCCCCTTTCCCTGTTGAGATCCTTTCCCCCCTTTCCCCCCTAAGGCCTTCTTTCTCTGAGATCCTCTCCCTTTTCCTCGCTAAGATCTTTTCCTCCTTTCCCGGTTGAGATCCTTTTCCCCCTCTTTTCTGAGGCCTTTGCCCCCCAAGATCTCCCTTTCCCCCCACCCCCGCGATCTTCTCCCCAGTTCCCCTCGAAATCATTTTTCCCCCCTTCTTCGAAGATCTTCATTTCCCTTCAGTTTCCTTCACTTCGGTTCATGCCCCTTTATGTCTGTTTTTGCTCCCTTTCTTTTATTTCACTTTCATTTCCAGATGTTCCTTCACCAGCATGGTCAACATCCCCAGCATCACTTGCATCATCCGCATCCTTGGCAGGCGCTGATGCGGATGATGCAGGTGATGCTGGCGATGTTACCCACTAAGGATGCAGCGGCGGACCCCGGAAGAATCAACCACCCCAATGTTTTTTTCGGAACTGTGTTGCGCAGAGCCCCCAAAAGAAAGGATTTAGTGGAACACATCACCACGTGGTACGTCCCCGCAATAGTCTGAAACCGTGGTCCTGGGGAGGGGCAAGGGGAGGGGTAAGGGGAGGGGTAACAGGTAAAGAGGTAAGGAGCATTTCTTATGTCCAACACGCCGCCTTGTTGTCGGCGGATTTTCCTAGGCTAGGGTTGTCTCTTCTGGAGCCTCCACAACCCCTCAACATGGGGCATGAGCATAATTGTGGGGCAATGACAAGCCATTTGTTCAGAATTCAAAATGAACTTCCAGTCATATGGGTAAGTCTCGAAATCGGGGAACCCTCCTTTTTTTTCTCGCTCCATTTTTTTCTCGCTTCTTTTTGGTTTCCCTTTCAACGTACGCCGCAACAAAAGAAGGATCAGCCACCTAGAAGACACACACACATAAATATATATATATATATATATGCACCTAGAATATGCTTGTTCACCCGATAGCTGAACCCCTTCTAACTTGCCTCTACCAGTGGAATTTCGGGTGGTCTTCCACCTGCACCCATTCCCTTCACGGATCCTCCTCTTCAAGCACGGCCATGTTGTCTTTTGGGGAAAATGGGTGGTTTATGAAAAAGGCGACGGGTGAGGACACCCTCAGAGGTGTCTGTTGAAAGAACCCGGCGGCCGCCGCTGAAGCGGCCCCAGGGGCCTTCCGGGCCATGCTGAACCTCAAGGCCGCGCGGGAACTGGCGGCCAAGGAGCCGAGCGCAACTGCTTCGCAACCGGTTCGAGCCAAAGCCGAGCGGAAACGGGGCAAGTGGCCGAGCGGAACTTCCAGCATGTAAAACTGATTTTCGTTTCCCGAAACAGCTATATTTATCGCCGCTTGCTAGAAAGAACGCCCTTTCGCGAAAGGAAGAAAAAAAACGCTCGCCGTGATTCCAGCTCGTGCCAGGCAGACAATTACGCCGTTTTTCCGGCAAATTACGCTGTTTTGGCGGCAAATTACGCCGTTTCAGGTTTTTGGTTTACGCCAAAGTGTGCAACCATTCAAGAATGCCCGCAGGCGAAAATAATCGCCGCTTGGTTAAGAAACATAGTAGGTCTTTTTAAGGTCATCAAGGTTATTAGGGTTGTTCAGGTGTTTGTGGCTGTAGCGGCTATTAAGGTCCGGCCGCCGTTTACTTTTTTTGGGCGTGTGTAAGTAGACCTTTTTTAGTTCCAGGTGTTGATCGCGACTCAGTTGCCCAGTGAATTCACCCTTGTTCCCTTGTGGGCACCAAAGGGGCACATTGAAGGGTCGTTTTTTTTTTTGCCATCTTTTCGGTTTTCGGGGTTGAGTTTTTGTATCCAACCGTGCAACTGCACAGACCTTGTTAAGACAACTTCCCCATGAGAAAGGAAACATATTTGCTCCCGCGTTGGTGGTAGATTGGTTAGGACCTCGGTTTGGTCTCTGGCACCAGGGGTTGCTCCAGGTAAAAAGGCAAGTTGCTCCAGATCTTGCCTTCCAGCAAAAGAGAAGAAGAGGTTCGTTCTCCAATAGCCTCGGATTTCAACCAGGACCCTCGAAACTAGATCATGTCCTCAAAAACGGGAACCCCTCAGTCAGGCTCTCCGATTTCCGAAGTTTTCAGTCTATCTATGGTCAATGTGTCCCGAAAATCATCCAAAGGGGACAGACTCAATTCCCATGTCCCTAACCAGCTATTTTGACCACTTGGCTTTAATCACAGGATAGGATAGGCCCCTGTACAGGTCTCGCGATATAGGTCAGGTCTAGGATAGGGACATCGATCAAGTTTCTTGAGATTCTTCCTAGTTTTTCCTATTTCCTTGCACTCTTATTGCAATAAGAAGGATCAAACTCTCAGGGGAATGTCAGAGGGGAATATGACCGCAAGCATAAAGAAGATGCAATGATTGCTTGGTACAATGATGAAACTATGGCATAGTGGCAAGGAGTGTTTGGGTGAGACACCTGTTGGGGTTGTTTTAAAGGGGACACCGAAATCCTTCCGCAAGGTCTCCCATATCGAGAGACGCAGGGTTTAGCCCATTTCGGCAGCTGTGGGCTCCGAATTGATCTGAAAAGCCGCAGCCCAGACCTGGGGGTTGGTACTTTCCCCACGGGTCTGCCTTTTTCGAGGCTCGGTAATTCACTTTTTTTTTTTCTTCTTTTTCCGGGATGTTTCTAAAATGAAGCCAAAAGGAAAGCAACTACATTGTTGAGGTTCCCTAAATGAAGAGACGCCCACATGAAGTATAGCTTAATATTTGCGAAGGTCATAGAGACTCCAGATACCACCACGCAAGTGCTTGTCATGTTTGCTGTCCGAATCAAAAGTAGTCTGGGCCCTATGACTCATGTTTTGTTTTTCGGGAGAGGCTCAAAGTTCTTTACAACCCCCTTCCAATAAGCTGGACCAGGGCCACTAGGCAGTTGTTTGCCATTTCGGCGTTCTCCCTGGTTCTGGCGCCAGAATCGCGCGATGGAACGCATAGGAGCTGGGCGCCAACCGCCGGGACGGCGATAGCACTGGGTGCAGCCGCCGCAGCACCAGCATTAGCCGCACGGCGAAAGCGGAAAAGCACCCCTCAAAATCAAGGGGGTCACTCATCCACGGTTCACCGCTTCTTTTCCATCCCCAATTCCGTGGTTTTAGCAGGTTGACAGACTTTACCTCCAGCCAACCGGAGGTTTCAACAGATTGGCTTCCCGCTCGACACCTTCGCAGGCCCCCGGAAGGAGGTCGCCACCTCCACCGCGCCCGTCGCCACCATGTCGGCCGACGGAAACGACGCCCCTTTGGCGCTGCGGCCGCAGTTCGCGGTGGGGGAGCGGGTGGAGTACCGCAGCGACACCCACCGGCAGTGGCTCCAGGGTACCGTGCCCGGGGCCTCAGGTGAAGGGAGGAGGTTGAAGGGTTGGAGTCGCCTTTCGACCCTTGAAGATGGGGGTAGCATGGAAACTCTAAAGTGGGGGGAGAGGGGTGGTGGCCCGGACCTGGAGCAAAGGCAGAGTGGGGGCGACAGAGTTTTTTCTTTGTCATTTTGGGGTAACCCCCCCCTTGTGGGGAAGTGAAACCACTCGTCTGCCAGACAGGTGCCTTTGAATTCAGAAATTCAACAAGAGAAGAGGTTGTTTCAACATGAGAGTGGTTTGCCGTAGGCAGCGGCTACGCGGATGAATTACGATTAGAGTGGCTAGGAGGCCCAGATTTGCTCAAAGGGGGACAAACCCCGGCGCTTCCTTTGCGGAAACAGCCCTATGGACACCGCTGGCCCAACATTTTTGGCAGGGGAACAAGCCCTTGCCAAGCCATGGCTCAGCTCCTACAGCCAATACCCCAGCAGAGAGGTTGAAAAGGTTGCACACTGGGCCCTACGTGTTCATCACCATGGGGGGGACGGGGTGTCTTTGGGCATTCTCGAATTCCCGCAGGCAGAGAATTCGCGAGGGCGGAGCGGTGTATGACCTGGACGTGAAGAAAGGACCGCAGTTCAGAGTCGGTTTCTTTTCCGTCTCGGTCTTGTGGGAGGGGGTTACAAATCAAGGGTTCAACTGCAAACACATGCATATATGTATATATGTATGTATGTGTGTATGTAATGTAATGTAATGTAATGTAATGCAATGCACTGTAATGTAATGAATGTAATGTAATGTAATGTAATGGAATGGAATGGAACGAATGGAATGGAATGGAATGGAATGGAATGGAATGGAATGCAATGTAATGTAATGTAATGTAATGTAACGTAACGTAATGTAATGTATGTATGATATGTATGTACATATTTAAAGAGGGGGTTTCCCCTTCTGTCGGAAGACCTCAACTACCAAGCGACTTGGTGCCTTTCTTGTTTAAGAGGCCTTGAACAATCACCAGACAATGGATGGCCATTCTGTGTCCAATCGATATCCACGGGTGGGAGTTCGAACATGAGCCAAGCATTGATGTTGGGTGCGCATCCGTTGAGTTGTTGGTCTGCAGGCGAACCCAAGGGAAGCTACTTTCCAGGGCTTCTACATTTTCAGACAAGCACGTACCATGTGGCCCAATAATCTTTTCTCAAACAAATAATGAAAGCCCGAAATAGTCTATGAGTCCATAGGGCGTGAATTGGGGACCCGAAATGGGGCTGCATGGTGGGGCTTCAACCGCCAGATGCGGAAAAAGCCGACCGAGGAGCGCAGGCCAGCAAGCTGCGAAAGGCACTGGCGCCAGAGGAGAGCTACGAGCGCCGCCGGGCGACGAAAGCGACAAGAGATGGATGTGGCTCAAAATTCAGCAGCTGGGGTTACTCAGATTTTGGTCCATGTTTCCACTTACCAGGCAGGGTTCCATTTGGGTACCGGTTTTTCGAGCCACAGCCAGATGGGTTTGTTTTGGTAAACTGAGCGATTTGGCCAGATTCGTTGTAAAACCTGCGAACGACACGATGTAGGTGGGTCCTTTACAATTCTTATTTCGGGGTTGGGATGTTCAACATATGAAAACCATTGCCAAAACCCGGCAGCAGCAACAGCAACAACGGCACCAGCAACAACAGAACCGCAACCACAACAAAAGCAGCAGCGGTAGAAGCTACGCTTTGCCAGTGGGCAATTCAACCGCCTGTTTGAACCATGATTCAAACCGCACAAACGTTCAACCTCCTTGTGGTTCCCTCAAAACTGGCCAGTGGATGGTTTTTGACCCTTTCAGGCTCGACTTTATGCTTGCCAGGCCCAAACTCGGCTGCGGAGCTTGAAAGGAACCTCAAAAGGCAACACCGGTGCCCTTTGACTTGTGTAACAAAAATCCAACCCGCCACCAAGAACGTGTGGGTGCGTAAGTTGACAAGCCCCTCTTTTGAAGACCCTCAGTTTCTATTCCGTGTCCAGAGGGTTTTGTGGTAGCGTGGAAACCCCACGAAATCCAAGCTACGGAGGGGTACTTCTCTATTTTTGATGGGAAAGCAATCCATTTTAGGGGCATTGTGATCATCAAAGGCCGAATCAATACAAACTGAAGCTGATAACTTGGGGTGCGGCTCAAAATTCTGGACCCAGGGGCCCGCATATTTGGTTGTTGCTGTCTTCTTCCTAGAAACTGGAGGTTGGGAGCTGCTCGACTTGTGAGCTGCAAAAGCGGTGAGAGCAAACAGATCTGTCCCCCCCGACTGCGCGACTAACCCTGCTAAGTGGAAACATGGACCAAACCCCTCGTGTTTAATTGTGAGCCACACCCTGTTGGCTTGGGCCTGTCGAGCTCCAAAAAAAGGGTTGGCACAAAGAAGCTGTGCGGAGCCGGCTGGACGTGGACCATCCAAACCTTGGGTGGAAGGCTCGTAGACGGTGCCAGGAAGTTGGTGTGGAGATCCGCCCTTTTTGGGTAGACCTTGTTACCAGGTGTTGAAAACTGGTCTTTTGATTGATACACAATCGAGACCTGGTTTCTACGTGGACTTCTTTGGGTAAACCCATTTGAGCGCCCGGCAAACCTCCGGAAGACCAATATGTTAAGGGCTGGGCGTGACATACCCAAATATGCAGTCCAGACCGATAGGGTCACAAAAAACCCTACCCGATGTCCTTTTCCTACACAAGAGGTTTGGCACCATTTTTTTCAATCAAACAAGTACCCGGGTTTGGGGTATACCCACTTTTTCCCATTTTCAAGTTTTTTTTAGAGGCAGTTCTATTCGTTTTTGCGACCTGGGCTCAAGCGCTCGGCTAAGGCGAGCCGCGGGAAGTCACCGCGCTCCCGCTGCAGCTGGAGCCGGTGACGGCAGCCAGGCGCGGGTGGGATCCTTGGATGTTTGTGAAAGGGAAATGGGCCGCACCTGGATCCAGCAGTTTGTCGCTCCGCTGCAGGAGTTCCGCCTGGACACATGCAGTGCTTTTGCTGCTGGAGTGTGTCTGTGAAAGGGAAATGGCCATGGGTCAAACTCCAAGCCAAGTTGTCCCCCCAGTGAACATCCCAATCCAACCACTAAAATAGGTTCTAACATGGGTGGTGAATTCACCTACCCCATTTAGGACACCGCCTACCCAAAGTAAAACACCTCAGTTAACACCTAGATAGACCTTATTTGCCCGGTTCCAAAGGTGGTTCCTAAGTAAAGCACCAAAGTTTCAAGAATCAAAGGACAAGGATATGATTGTACAGGAGATGTCAGAAGCAACACAAAGTTTTCATTCAACATGAGAGAAATTGACATTCCACATATGATTAGGTCATATGTCTTTTTAGTGTTTGTCTTCCTATCGATTTCCCCCAGAGAATTGCACGGTTTCTCTTTGTTTATTGTTCATTTCTTTGTTCCTGTTACATCTCAATTTCTTTATAATTTCTGGTCTTGCGTGAGTTTCCTTTTGATAGGTCAACAATGAGCCCTGTGTTTTTTTTGCTCAGTACCCTTCTTCATAAAGGTAAACCCAAAGGGCAAGCATTTTAGGGGATCCCTTCAAAAGAAATACACCGTTTCGACCAATGGCTTTGCGTGAACATGGCGGCTTTTTTTGTTTTCCGCTTTGCCAAAAGAAGGCAAACGGCAAAGCCCATTTAGAGAGGGACGTGAAAGGGAAACCACTGGTTGGGGCTTCTCCCTGTCCATCTTGGTGGCACGGATTTGACCAAAAGCCGAGTGGCTTCGGGCCTGGCGCTTGCCTATCGGGTCTCCTCCAACGGCTAGACCCAAACGCCGTCTGAGAATTTGGGAGATGAGCCCGAAAAACGACAAGACAAACCACAGGGGAGCCTGCAATCTACTCAAGGTCCATAGAGCGTATGCCAATTTTTGACCCTGTCGCATGCCCGAGAAAGCAAGTCAAGTCAGAAAGTCCCACCCTTGATTGGGAGAGTATGACATTTTCACCTCTGCAGCTTTCTTTGGCGGCCCGTGTTTCCGAAGACGGGATGAATGGTCGATTTGCGGGAAGTTCTATCTTTTTTTCTCCATGGCTTTTTCCGGAAACCGCACGGAAGAATCCCATTTCAGCGCCTCACGGGGGGGTCCTGAAGTCTGCTCTATGTACATCCCGACCAGAGAAGGCAAATATTTTCTGGGAGCTGGCCACGTTCAAGTACGATTCAGGGGTGCAAGCTGATCAAAGCACGTCAAGCCGCTTTTTTTTTGTGCCTTAAGAGTGATTCTCTGGGCAAACAGTTGCCCCTGAGATCAGGTACCCCTGAAAAGCGTGAAAGTTGGGAACCCCATGTTTCATACCCATTCACACAAGCCCAGCTACGTTCTGTTGTCGGTTCTGTTGACCCACTTGTCTGGGCAAATTGTAAGGATGCCACTAGGGGTGGATTGCAACTTCGCCCATGAAGCTTTGTTTCATAGGGCTCGGTTTCTCACTTTCGGGCGAGTCGTTTCCCACTGAGAACAGCTCCTTCCCAAATAGAAAAATAATATGGTAAAATAATATGACCTGGAAAGATAAAGTGGTTGATGATAAATGTCAAGCGCTTCAGTCCTCTCCTTTGCATCCTTCCCAATCGCCGCTTCCTTGCGAGCCTGCGGTGAGGCCGAGCCCGCGCCTGGCCCAGGCCCGCGAGGCGCGGGAGGCCCGGGAGGCGCGGGAGGCGCGCGAGGCGCGGGACGCCGCGCAGGAAGCTGCGGGCTCGAAGGGGTCGGAGGCGGCGTGCGAAGGGTCGGCCGGTCACCTGGGCAGAAAGGCGGTGTTTTGGGCATTTTCACCCGGGTTTTGTGAGACAGGACTCTTGGTATGTTTTGCGTTTGTTTGGAGGATGCCCGTTTTGGAAATCAAAAGAAGAACCACGATTTTTGTGGGTCCCCATTCCCAGCCGTTGCCTAGAAAAGCTCCAAGGAGGTTTTGGGGTCAACGGGTCGACAGCAGGTTTCTGCGAGGCATTGGATCTTAGCTGAAACAAATATCTGAAACGAGGGTGGAACGAGATGGAAACTATCCGCTGCGGACTGTGCTTCAGGGCTTCATTTCCCACCCCTCGGCAAGGGATTTAGGGGAGCGCCAGCGTGCTCCCAAGGATGGCTTGGCGGGATTCTCCTCAAAACTTGCCTTTCCACCTCCGGGGCCCTGTTTCCGGCTCCGAACCTGTTCCATTTGCATTGGTTTTGGTTATGCCAAAGGCTCGCCGGGGATCGACACACCAGCGTCCCCTCAACTGGCGGTTTGGATTTGGGGATAACCCCTGGTTCTGGTAGACAAATGGAACACCCCCTTATCCATAAATTTGCGGGGAAACTGACCAACATAGCAACCAAGACAAACCAACCAACCAACCAACCAATCAACCAATCAACCAAACCAAGCCCCGCATGGTTTCACGTCCGAAACCAGTTCCAGGACGAGCTGCGCCTCTCCCCGGCGCGCTCCGCGCGCTCCGCGCGGGAAAGCCGCGAGGGTCCAGCGCGGAACTCGGCGGTGGCGAGGAAGCGAGAGATGGAGCAGACCGAGGTCCAGGCCCGAGCAGTCCTTCCCCGTTCGGGTGTGTCTGTTTTGGGAATCGGACCAGCCAAATGGTGGGTTTTGCTGCTGGTTTCCTTGAAGAAAGGATATTATCCCGAATAGAGACGCATCCATTTCTAGGTGTTGTTCCCCTTCCAAGAATGACACTTCACTGGGATGTCAGGTGGGCCCTGCATCAGCGATTGAAGGATAGCCTATGAACAAGAAAATTTGGCCCAAACACCCGCTGCGGTTGCCAGGATCCGAATGCTTGCAGATCAGGTGGTTTTGCATGCAGCCTTCAAGGTTTGTGGGGTTGGTGCCGCTGGACCTTGAGAAGCCCCATCATTTTCTGCAGAGTCTATGGCGATTCCGATGCCGGGGAGTCCCCAAGTGGGGAAAGGAGGTGTTGTTGAGGACTTCAAGTTGGGCTGACGCCAAGGCGAGAGGGTGTCTGCGGTTTTTGGACCTGTGGCAGAACCCCCCACAGTTAAATGATGTCCACCAAAGTGTTCTTCGAGAGTCATGCCCAAGTGAGACTCTTGAGTCATTAGCGTCGATCGACAGCTGTCCAGGTCAAGCCATATTTGGGCTTAGATGCTCCTCAGCTTGCAATTGAGAGAAGCCCGAGTCGAGGTGTCGATAGATGGCACGTTTCTGGTTGCAGGTTCGCTGAACATGACTTGATCTCATAGAAGCCTGCTCAAGCAGGAAGAAGCAGTGGCAGCTACTTGAAAGCAAATGCTCAACTTCTTTTTTGATGGATTCCCCTTAAGTCGCCGAAAGAGTACTAATCCTTTCCAACCCGGGTGTGGCGAGCGGTTTTGGTCGAGCGAAGTCCTCAAGCCTCAATCCCTGCCCTTCTGGCACCGTTTCGTCCTGCACAAGGGAAGTCGGAGGCTGGAGGCTAGTCATTCTATTGATGGAGTTGATTTCGGGTTGGTTAAGAGTGGATTTAGGGATGGCTGAGGATTGGTTGAGGGTGTATTTGAGCGGGTTTCAACACCTCTCCGTTCATTCCATTACGTGAGCAACCAAACAACCAAACAACCAAATAAACCAAACCAAGCCAACCAAGCCAATCAAGCAATCGGTCCTGCTGCTCACCATGACAAAGCTTTTTTGTTTTTGTTTCTAACAAAATAATCCATAAGTTTGTTTTGTTGAGAAAATTAAGCTAAACAAATGCAGATCAATTGGTGGCCTGACTGACCTGCTGCTCCCCTAAAAGCCCAGCCGAGGAGCAGCAGGTCACCTGGGCAGCCCGCGCGGGGCAGGAGATGGCCTCCCGCGCCGGCGCGGTGACCGTGCGGAGGCGCTTTCGCGCTTTCGCCGGGGGGGCGGAGGGCTGAGGCGCGCGCGGCGAGCGGCGAGGGAAGGGGTGGTCCGAAGCAAAAAGGCCTGGGAGGTGGCCACCGTGTTGGGGTGGAGGTTTTTGATTTTTTGGGTTGTTTGGAGAAGAAGCCTGGGAGTTTTGGGGGTTAGATATTTGGAGAGTTTCAAGTGAGGACCGGCTTGTTGGCTTTGATCTTCCTTGTGGGAGGAAACCCCTTTAAAAGCAACCACCGAACAATGGGTTGCCCCACTTTTTCCCGTGGCCAGCTGGTTTTGCTGGTTTACGGCCCAGGAAAATGGTTTAGATGATGGTCCCTAAAGCAAAACTGCAAATGTTCTTCCTCCGGATGAAATCCATGTCTGTTTGGGGTCTCACATAGACCCAAACAAAGGAGAAAACTCCAGAATTTGGGAGACCCCGTAAACCGACCAAAGGTTGGCTTCTTCTTTCGGCTTCCCCGAAACCCAGCGGAGGATGCTGGACACCACCAAGCAGCTGCTGCAGAACCTGGAGACGGCGCTGATGCTGCGCGCGGGGTTCTTGGCCAACTGCTTCAGCAACTGGCGCCTGGAGGCGCAAGGAGAGATGGAGAGAGAGAGGCCCAGGGGGCCGAGTCTCGTGGGGAACATATTGCCACCCAAACAAGAAACGTGAAGGGAAAGGGAAAGGCTGGCAAAGAACACTCTCCAAGCGTCGGAGTTGGGATCCCCATGTTTTTTTTTTTGCCATGTCGGATCCATGCCGACGTTGAAGCTGTTTCCCCTTTACAACCACCCCAAAAAGGTGATGTCCCATCCGCAGAAGAGCACGATACGGTACGACACAGTGCTCAAGCTTTTTGTGTTGGGGGTACACCTCTCACTAATGCCTCGTCCTGTTTGTTCCTAGTGTTGACCGGATACATCCTGCACCTAAATGAGGACATTCTCGTCGCCAATCTCGCGTTCCCGACTTAACATTGGTTCTTCGAAAGGCACGTCGCCCAACTGCGCAATGGAGAAACATCCTGCATCACCCTTATGCGTCACTGTTTCAAGATGAAGCCAGGGGCACGGGGTCTGCGGTGCAGGATTTCTCCCGTCCACCGTGTCGCCACACCTGGGCATGTGTCAAAGGACCGGGTCCCCAAAATGTGTGTGCAAGCTACTTGTTTCCCTTGAGCGCCGAATGGGTACCCTCAAACCACAGACACAACCCATTTTCCCAGATACTCGCCATAATCATATTTGCTCTCTGGCCATTCTGCCTGCAAAAAGTATAGTCTATTGTACCAGGCCTCATTTTGACACCTTCCCATATTCACCATACCAATTTTCCTTGAGGCTCGCCATTCGCCAGTTCTGTGACCGTCAGGTGCAGCTGTCCAAGCTGGATGCGCGGCACCGGGAGGAGATCCAATGCGCTTGAGACGGGTCAAATTCAGGGAACCCCAAACATGGCTTCGGTTTTCCTTTGGGTTTCCCTTCGAAAATCAACCAAAAAAGGGGATTCCTCCAAAAAGGACCAGTTGGGGGAGGTGCCGAAGGGTACAGCTGACCATGTCATGTCGGGTTTAGGACTACTTACCCCGCATGTCGACTTGGCGTTTTGCCATCGGGAACCCTTCGGTATTGCCAGGTTTCACATGGTCTCCCCGACTGACTAGGGCAACTGGAAGCAGGCAAGGGAGCGCCACGCGAAACATCCAAAAGTCTAAAGCGGGTGATACATCTTAGAGTTGGAATCCATGCCCACCGGACATATGCTGGGCACTCCCAAAAGGAAGCCCATCTTGATTCTAGCCCTTAGCACAGCCATGGCCAGAAACGCAGATTTAAGCTTGTTTCGACTTAGATCATTGTGATTTGAGGACGTGTCAAACTGGGGGGGGGGGGTTGCGCTCCAATAAAGAGTGCCCAGCCTCCAAGCAAGATTGCCCTAGCAGATGCTTAGTTATGCTCCCAGTTTCAGGGGCAAAAACGGAAGGCCTCGTGAAGACAAGTCTCACACTCTTTGTTTTGTTTCGGTTCGGGGTTCGGGGCGTGTTTTCTTGGGGTACTTGGCTGTTCATGAGGCCCACAGATATGTGTCGCACGCTCGATCGTCCGCCTCGACTTTGCCTCCATGGACCTGGAGCCGTGTCGAAGGAGCTGGAGCAGCACCACGACGCGTGGGCGGCCCATTTCCAGAACCACCAGCAGAGCTTCGAGGACGTTGCGGGCGGCGAGAGGGTTTTTCGCAAGTTGGAGAAGCCCAAAAGAAACTTGAGAAAGGAGGGGGGAAACTGGACCAACGCGAAATACGCCAAAAGCGGAAGGCCCAGTTGCTGAGTGGATTCTGCCCGCTTCCGCCTTTTTGTTTGGCTCGGGATCTTCAGAACATGGAATCGACCAACCAAAAAGCGTCATTGGGCAACTGTGAAAAACCTTTGCACACCAATGACAGGCAGCTGCCTTGAACTTACCTGTTGAGCTATTGTCAGCTGACGCATGTGTTTTTGGCCGAAACTCTGCCCATGATTTCGGTGGCCAAACACAGCTCATTTACTATTACCTTTTTTTCCAGGTGTACCTGGGTTTGTTAGCAAGATATGATAATATGGATTCTGGACCCCAGAAATGATGCTTTTGGATGTAGTTCCCCTTTTCGCCAGTCGAGGTTTGCTCAGCAGTGAACGGGAGGATGTGTTTGTACGTTCGTGCACCGAGTTTCATCAGTGGTGGGGTACTGCTGTAGTAGGGTAGCTTTGGATTAATCTGAAGTCAACATTACTGTATACTAGATACATATCTCATTTCCGGACTTCACGGTGACAGATATTTGTGATACCTGTATTCGCCAGCGCAGGAAAGGCTACCCAGCCTCACACAAGATGACACACTTCTAGCCGGATCTCCGGCTCAGTTCATTCAGGGACACTCACCGGGTATGGGTGCAATTTATTCTTGTCTTGCCGATCAGCTCCTATGAGCGCTTTTTGAGGTTTGTTGTCAGAGTTCCTGATTTGTTCATGCTCGATTTGATGGAACCCCATGACTGCTGGGACAATCTTTTATCCGTCCACAGTATGGATTATTTGTAGTTTGCCCAAGGCTTTCCTTGAGCAACCGGAGTGGGTTGTGGTTGGTGTCTAGGTTTGGCCTGCGAAAGGGCCGTTTGCTCTTTCTGTTGCTTGTTTTTGGTGGGGGCCTGGACAGGGCGTTTGTTGCGGAACCGTGGGCTTAGGAGCGAATCTGGTTGTCTTGGGGCTGGGGCGCACTATGGCTCTGTCAATTGTAACGCTCTTGTGTTCAGCTGGTTTTCCGAGAGCTTGTCCGCACAGCCCGAGGCATCAAGAATCAAACATCCCTCTTTTGGTGCCCCTTGGTTGCCAGTTCCCTGGGGGTTTACCTCCGACCCCTAGCCTAGGAGGTGAAGAAGGGAAAAGAGAGGCTCCCTTGCCTAAAGGGAAACTGGATTCGGTCCGACATAGCTTCGGTTTTCCTTTTGGTTTCCCTTGAAACCAACCTACTTGATGAACAAAAACACAAAACCTCCGGCGTACTGTACTCCTGCAAGCTAGGATTGGATCCCAACGAGCGGGCCCACTTGAGGACACTTGGGGCTGGTAGGCTTTATGTTTTTCTTTATTTTTTTTTGGCAGGTACAAAAATTGCACGGACCCCTTCCACCCAAACCGATGGATCTATCGTCGAGTTCGACACCGGGGACACTTCAACAGGAGGAGCTGGCGAAGCACGCGCGGCACGCCATGAGCGCCAAGGAGAAGCGGCGGCAGCAGGCGGAGCTCATCGCCGGGGGCCCCGGGATTGACTCCGCCCTCACCCGGGGCGATAGGTAGGGAAGGACATTTCCGGGTGTTGGGGAATGAACCTAGGGAAAACCATGGTTTTTTTCTTGTTTTTTTGTTCCGGGGTCATTGCAAGACTAGTTCCACCTATGCTTCGGGTGCATCCTTTTTTAGGGGTTCCTCCAGCATGGTGGGTTTTCTTTCGGTTTCCCTTCAAAAAAAGGACACACCCACGCGCTCTTGTACACTTCTGCTTGCTTGCGGGAGGCAACCTGGCTGAGTACCTTTTGGACCATTTACTTATATAGTATATATATATAATGAGTAGGTAGCTAAAGGAGTCACCCATTAAAAATTAGGAAGCAGAATGGCTGGTGACCTACACTGGGATCCACCCGATGCTTAAACAAACCCCGAAGGTAACCACCACTTTCCCTCAGATTTGTGTAGCAAAAGTGGCTGGTGGAGGGCTAGGTGCCAAACTGACCATCGAACCATCGAGTTAGATGGTGTCCACTACCCCCAAAGCTCTGGGGTGTAATGAGATATACAATCACTATAAAGCGACTCTCTGTTTTACCGTGTTTGCCTGGCGGTAGTGGTTTGGAGATAGAGGAAAACGACCTGAAGAGTTTCGACTACAAATGGGGTGGCTGATCAATGGTCAATTTGGGATTCCGGAGTTGGGACTCACGAAACAAGACCACAAAGCCTGGGGCGGAGCCCTATTTTTCCCGAACCCTTTAGGGTTTCCGCACATTTTGACTGTGGCTCATGTGACCATGGACTTACAACCAGACCCGATCCGATCCTTTGACGCTTTGAAGGGCAACTGTAAGGATGTCCTGAACCATTGCGGCCTAACATTAGGGTCAGAAGCAGATTCCAGGTCCCTTTACCCTGTACTTTTCCCCCATTTAGACACACACACACACACACACGCACACACACACACACATATTTTCTGAATGAACCTCAAAAAGGGTACGATGCAGCCGCCGCATGTTTTGTTGTTTGTTAGGCAGCCGTATTTTTGTTTTGTGGGGCCCCCCATTTGACACAACCCCGTATGGATTCCCAGCTGTGGGATGAACCACCAAACCATCTTGGTGTCCTTTTTGGCTCTGAGCTTCAATGGGGAACTTTTGTGAACAGTAGTTGTTGGACATAAATCCTCAAATGATGTCCACCAGAGGATCCCTAATAAAGATTCATGCTTAGATCGCGATCTGTTACACTACTCTCCTCACTTCTGTTTCTGCTGCGACTACACCTTTTGGGCCCGACTGGAGGGAACACCACCATTTTGCGGGTTCCCTATGTCAATTCACGCCAACCCTTTTTCTTGTCCCCCCGATTTTGTCGTGACCATGGATATAGCTGGAAATGGGGTGAGTCCCCGAAAAGCTCAAACACATTGTTGACCCACCCACTTTTGTTGGTCAACTTGTTTGGCTTCCGGGGTTGCCCCTTTCGGACCATGGTCAACACCTACCCTTTAATTGGCCCACCTCTTCGCAACCGGGCGTCCCCTTTGGTCATAGCCTAGCTACGTTTGTTGCTACACGGAAGTACCTGGACAGCCTTTAATGGCTTATTGTCTCCATCAACCTCGGGCGCTTTGCTCAGGTGGACCAATGGGCGGAGGGGGAGAGCAAGGGCCTGAAGCGGTCCATCTACCGCGCCTGGGCCCAGTTCGCCCTGCAGGACGGAAATCGGCACAGGTACCTGGGGGTTGGGCTATGCCGCAACAGTTGACAGCTGGGCTCGAGGACATTCGCTTCCTTGTTGCTAGTTTTGTTTTGTGTATTTCTTTTTGTTTTGTCAATGTAATACTTCCAGCTGGGGAAGCCCGACAACTTTGGACTTGGACCGATTCGAATTTGGAGAAACACCCATTTTGTATGCAAAAAACATGTCTTATCTATTGGATCTCAGTTGGCAGCATAGAAGGCAACCATTTAGGCTTTTAGAGGGTGGTTCCCTTTGGCTACCTACTTCTCTTGGTAAATGGAATCACTGGTATTCTTGGTTCAATCACATGCCACTTGGTTTCTCTCAGGCCACCTACCCCTGCAGCTGGGTGGGGGCAAAGGGACACCGTAAAATGGTTGGCTTCTTTTCAACCTCGCCATGAAAACACAGCCTCGATTCAAGACTTGGGTTTGCCCCCTACCCTACTCCAAATACACTCTTGTGTATGATGTCAACCCCTGACAGAAAAGGAGGTATCTGCCATACAACACCAGGTACTTCCAGACATACCACGAGTATATAAAGTGGGGCGTGCGCATGTTCTTCAGATGACCTGCCCGGGACGCTAGGAGAGGTACCTCAAGCGAGCCGCGGCGAACGTGCACATGGCCATGTTCGGCCGCCGGGACTTGAGTTCTCAGAACAGGAATCGGACCCACCAGAACCAGCTGTTACAAAACACTTGGGTTTGCTGAAAAGAAGGATCTTTGGAACGAATGGGGACGTTTCCCCTGGCCCTAGACCTTCTGGCTAGCCGGGGTTTAGGCTAGCGCTCAAGGCCGTTAAGAGGCCGCACATGCACGGGTCTGTGGCGCAGGAAAGGACCTGGCTGTGTTTCTTTGCTACAGGTTTTGTTCGTGATTGAAGGTATATCCTGATTTCGCTCCAAGCCAACGAAAAGGGGGAAATCCTTAAACTTAAGCAAAGCACCACACCTTGGCCATGAGTGCCGACCTGGACGAATCCCTTTGCTTCGTTTTCACCAGCTGACTCCCTGAGAACCAGCAAGGCTGGCCACCCAATGCTTGCCCGGCTACCAACCACTTACCTCACATACCTGATCGCCCCCTTCAGGACGCTTTGGTGAAAAAGGCCTTCGGTGGGAGATTTCGGGGGGGTGATTCTCTTTTGAGGGCCGGTTTGGTTGAAAAAGGGAAGCCAAGAGAAAACTCAAGCAGATTTTGGGCGTTCCATATGTTGTTTGGAGACAGACACTTCACCAACCCTGTACCCACAACAAAAAGCATCAGTTCATGATGTATTTCTGACGTCCAGCAACGTGTCCATTTCCGCAATCATGTTCTTATCCTTTGAACAAACAATTCCAAGACCGGGGCTCAACAAAAAGGGGCCCCAACAAATGACACTCAGCTCGGGTCGTGTTTTTCTTTGAGAAGAACTCCAGGGTTCGGTGCCATGGAGGTCGACCACTCAATCACGTCAGCCTCGCACCCTTTCAGGAGCCCCCAGATCATCTCCATACCAAAAGGGGCGCCTAGTAGGGGCATCTTTTTTTTCGTTGTTTTTGAGGCTCTGCCGTTTTGTTGGGGCTTGTGTTACAGGGAAACCCTCCGGACAACTCCGCACCCATTTCGGGCGGGTCCTTCGCCCAAATCGATGCGCTCCGATGGACTGGTCGAGTGGGTCGAGGCTGGGTGGAGGGCAAGAGCAAAAGCCTGGCGCACAGCTCCTTCCTCAGCTGGCACCACCTGGCCGTCTCCGAGTCTGCGGCGGGGGACTCGATTCGAGCCGAATCGATCCAGGAGGTGCTCTGGGCCCCTTGTTTTTGGAGGGAGCACCGAATTCGGGGGGGGGGGGGAGACCCTTGTAGTTTTGCTGGGGTGGGGATGCTTTTGCCTCCTTTTTGGAGTTGGTGCCCTTGCTTGGAGTTGGTTTAAAGGGAAACTCGGTTTTCGCGGGGGAGCTTTTTGTTGGTTTTCATCCAGCCCAACAGAAAGCACCGTGCGCATTCATCTTGGCTCCATCTTGTGAGACTGCTGAAACAGGTCAGCTGGACCTGTGTCTAGGGTCCTCATCTTTGGTTTTCACCCATGGCTTTTCCTTTCGAGTTTCCCTTCACCTGGACGGCGTTCTTGAACCTCTGGATGGTTACACAAGGTTGGGTCACAATATCCGGTAGTCTGTGGTCACTTTGGAAGGAGAGATAATTTTGATTACAAATTCCAGGGAGACGGAACCCAAGTTTTCGTGATTGGGAACTTGGCGCATATATGTTGGGAATTTCCTGGCTGTGAGCCAAACCAACCTTCCGGAGACCTCGACTCCCGCCCGGATTGGAGGGTCTTTACCAGTACCACCCCTCGCACTTGAGGGGAGGGGGGAAAAAATGGTAAAAAGGGGGGGCCCGGGGGGTGGCCTGTTGATGGTTGCCTGTTCTGGTTTTTATGTTCATCTCAAATCTGTGTTCCCCCTTATTCGTTTTGAAAAGGGTGTTTTCGGGGAGCTTATTTATCGTTTTCGTTAAGGTAATCATTTGGGTAAATTGTCGCCTTGTTCATTGTTGGGCTGGGGGCCGACATTTCTTTCATTTGAAAGAGGTAGCCCTTTTAGTAGTTATCAAGTTCTGGGGTGTTGGTGGTGTATTTGTTTTGTTAGTGTTTTTCTCACTAATTTTCATTTATAGGTTAAAAGTTCAGTATAATTATAACATATAAGATTTTACATGTTATTATTATATTATGATTATAATTTCAGTTCAGGATAATAATCTAATTGGTTTGTCTTACTTCTTTCATACATCATTTTAAAAATAATATTAACATCTCTCACTGTATTCTGAACATTAAACTTTTTACTTTCAATAAATAATTTGATACTTTCTTTAACATCTTCTCCTTTCTCTTGACTATAACCCAACATCCATAATATATCATCAACCATTTCATATTTTTTCTTACTGATTTTAAGAAACTGTTTAACACAATCGTAAGGTGGTATTTTATTTACAGTTAGAAATATTAAAATATCATCTTCTACATTTCTATTATGTATTCTGTTTATTCCCAACATACATTTGATTAAAAATTGATTATCTCTCCAAGTTTTACATTTTTTACATATGTCTTCTTCACCATCCATTGAATAATTAATAATGTTATTCACTATTTCATTAGGTAAACTCAATTTGTACAATTCCATATTTTCTTTTTTGAAGTGACAACAATCATAGCATTTTTTATCGATATAATTATTGATTCCATCACCGTTCATTTTTCTCTTAATATATAAGGTAATATTTCTTTAAGTAGTTTTGGCTAGGGGGTTGCTGGTCGGCTGGTCTGGGTTTCAGGTTTAACTTAAATGTCTTAACCTTCTTGTTAGATTATAAAACAATGTTCAAGCATATTCTAATTACATATTATGAATAAACAAACATCATATTTCATAATTATTAATTGTATGGATTTCAAATTTGATAAAGAAGTCCAACCTTTCACCACTTTGGTGAAAGCCTTTCACCTCGAGGGTGAAAGGGTGAAAGGGTTCAGGGTGAAATGGCTTCCCCCACTGGAATTTGACACAAAAAGGGCTAGTTTTCACCGCACTAGTGAAAGGAAAAAGGGCTCAGTGGTGAAAGGGTGAAAGAGCAGTCGGTCAGTCCTACACTCGTTGCCACCAGACAGAATCTCACATCAAACCAAACCAACAAATATATCACTAATCAAATCAGTAGGTATCTTATATAAATCCTCCTGTTTATGCTTAACATACCCATCACACCATTCAGATTTTTTACCATACGGGAGTCTTTGGGCGGTTTCCCAATGTTTCCCATTCCTAATTTTCCCACAATCCCCTTTGCATAATAGTCTAGGTTTCCATGATGTTATGTTAGTCCAAAGCCTTGTTCGCTTCCTATAATTCATTCCATATTTACAATAATCCACATCATAGTATTTCAAGCCACTCATGAAGGGTTGTTCCTTCAAAAGTCCAGTTTGAGGGTTCTCTATTATCCAGTATTGACAATTGAAATACCTTATTACTTCCAACGTTTTTAAAACAATACTATTAGCGTAATCTATTTTTCTAACCCCAATTGTTTTAGCTCTGCTGTATTCGGTGCACGGAGGAGATGCCCAAATAAAATTGAAATGGTTTCTGTCAAACTGTTTGTAGTCCCATTCAAGTATATCACAATTAATATCAGCATTTTTCAAATCCAATGATATAACATTATAACCGAGCGACTTTGCTACTTTACCAACTGAAGAAGTACCACTAAATAGTTCTAATAAGTGCATATATTATTAGAACTATTTAGATATTTATATTTTCCTTTTCTACATTATGTTCATTGTCATTTGATTTATATGATTGACATTTCTTAGTCTTTTGATGTCTGCTTAATTTACTTTTGCGACCTACTAATCCACACACTTCGCATGCTACATTCTGCTTGTTTTGTTCAAGAATTTGTTCTCTATTTATTTGGTAATACTCTTTCCTATGTTGTTTATGTTCTTCTTTGTTGTTTTGATACCATTCTTTCATTCCGTTCTTTATTTTCTCTCGGTTAAGTGGGTTATACAGTTCTTTGTATTCTTTCGGTGTTCTACCTGCCACACAACGATTGACACATTCTATATTTTGGATATGATAACCTTCTCGTCTAAGTAGTTGCTCTTTACTATCACACGGGTAGTTTTCAATGAGTTCTATCTTACAATTCTCAACTCCGTATTCGTCAAACAACACTCTAGAATTCGAATGTTTGTTTTGCACGTGCTTTTCATTGAAATAATATTTCTGCCTATGTCTTGCCATCCTTTGGCTTAGTTCCTCACACGTGCTTCCTACATAACACTTTTCATAACCAACATCAACTATTTTGCAAATTTTAGCGTTCATATATCTTTCCATATCTGTTAATATCTTTAATCATCTTTTCTTTAATTCATTTTATCCTGAAATGACCATAGGGTAGAGAAGTAAAGGCATCAAAATAATATCATTTATTTTCAAAATTACTCAGAGATTGCTTAACTTGAGACATTGAGAATAACTGATGGTTGCGACTACGAATAAAATTATATGTTATTTCATGCTTTTTGTTTTGAAATAATGCTTCGTGATAGTTCTGATATGACAGTTCTTTTTTCACCTTGTGTTTTACTACACCTTTTGACTTTTTATGTTCATCATCCTCACCGTGTATTGTAAAAGCATATGACTTTGGTTTGAGAGCTATGAATTTGGTAATTATCTTTGAAGAGCATTCGTCCTTAAACATTCCTAAAACCTTTTTATTAGTTTTGTCAAAGCATGGATGCTCAACAGGATAGTCGCTAAAATCCATGTGTTGCTTTATATCATTGAAATCCTTATAGACATCATCAGTCATTGTTTGAATTACATAACTGTCAGTATCAGTATAAACCAGTTTTATGTTTTCATTATACTTCTTTTTCAATACATCATAGTAAAACTGATACATATGTAATTTGCTTAAATCTAAAATGCTCATTCCCAGGAAAATCGGCTTATCCAATTTCAGCTTCGCTTTAGTTTTTTCAACTCCTACGAGATTTTCATTTATAATAAATCTGTTTTTGAATGTTGGATTATTAACACATTTTTCATATCTTACCTCATTATCAACTAATTCAAAATCCAGATGGTTTCGCTTGTCTTCCATAGTTTTTCCGTACACCGCGTTATTCATTAATTTGAATAAATCTTTCTCAAAATCGCTTTTGGCTTCTTTCCTTTTACCAGTGTCGAAGTCAATCCACGGTTTCAACCATGCCCTCTGTTGAAACTTTATTATCCTATGGACTTTACCCATTTTCATTCCCATTTTCAAATAATACTGTAAAGTCTTGATATGAACCACATATTTTTCTTTATCCTTTAGATTTAATATTCACTTACTTGTTTTCTCGTCCTTGGGACTTTTACCATCATAATATATTTTGAAGACTTGCTTTTGATAATCGGACAGCATATTCACATTTACTTTCATTATTTCAGGAGCTAGTGGATAGTCGGAGTGGAAATCATGCAATGTTTCGGGATATTCCAAATCAACTTCCATAATATAGCCGAACTCATCGTTTTCATTCCATTTTTCAACACTGGGCGTTTTCTTTGCCCACTTGATATTTTTTAGCGGTAACTTCTGGGACATTGCTAAGCCATACAAGTTATTCGCATCCAAGTAACTAATATAATTTGATGGCTTGTTCTCATCATATGCTTCCCCCATGTACTTATTATTTGCCACCGCTAATTTATGACTAACCTGACACATACCACCTCTCATTCCCTTTTCAACCATCTCAAACATTTCCTGGTCATGCAATTGTTCTATTTCAACACCAGTTTTTAGAAGCATCGCGTCCCATGCGAAATTTGGCAACGTATAATAATGAGCGGGGTCTAAACCGTAGTATTCCATACACAAGTCTCTGAAGTTTTCAAATACATCGGTCAATAGTAAAACATCAGTTCTTAAATACAGGTTGTGATACTGTCCGAGTGTTCTAATCCCGAAGTGCTTCCATACTTTCAATGCCCTTTCATAATCTTTATCACTTACATGTTCTTCACTCAATTTACTGTAAAACGCTTCTTTCGGTGGTAAAGCCCTTTGCTTAAATCTTTCAAAATCATCAAAGTAGTCATAGGGATAAATACCCTTATCGGTCAATAAATCCAAATCTTCATCGGTTTTAACATACGGGTTTCTAACGCTGTATCTGAAATT